CTGCTGGATCATATGGTAATTCTATTTTTAGTTTTTTAAGGAACCTCCATACTGTTTTCCATAGTGGCTGTATCAATTTACATTCCCACCAACAGTGTAGGAGGGTTCCCTTTTCTCCACACCCTCTCCAGCATGTTATTTGTAGACTTTTTAATGATGGCCATTCTGACTGGTGTGAGGTGGTACCTCATTGTAGTTTTGATTTGCATTTCTCTAATAATTAGCAACGTTGAGCATCTTTTCATGTGCTTATTGGCCATTTGTATTTCTTCTTCAGAGAAATATTTATTTAGGACTTCTGACCATTTTTCGATTGAGTCGTTTTTTTTGTTGTTGGGTTGTATGAGCTGTTTGTATATTTTGGAAATTAAGCCCTTGTGGGTCACATTGTTTGCAAATATTTTCTCCCATTCTGTAGGGTGTCTTTTCAGGTTTTGTATAGTTTCCCTTGCTGTGCAAAAGCCTGTAAGTTTGATTAGGTCCCATTTGTTTATTTTTATTTCTATTGCCTTGGGAGACTGACCTAAGAAAACATTGGTACGATTTATGTCAGAGAATGTTTTGCCTACGATCTCTTCTAGGAGTTTTATGGTTTGTTTTATGCTTAAGTCTTTAAGCCATTTTGAGTTTATTTTCGTGTATGGTGAGAGGGTGTGTTCCAACTTCATTGATTTACATGTGGCTGTCCAATTTTCCCAACACCACTTGCTGAAGAGACTTTTTCCCATTGTATATTCTTGCCTTTGTTGAAAATTGACCGTAGGTGTTTGGGTCTATTTCTGGGCTCTCTATTCTGTTCCACTGATCCATGTCTCTTTTCATGCCAGTACCACGCTGTTTTGATTACTACAGCTTTTGCAGTATTGTCTGAAGTCTGGGAGGGTTATGCCTCCTGTTTTGTTCTTTTTCTTCAGGATTGCTTTGGCAATTCTGGGTCTTTTATGGTTCCATATAGACCTGAGGATTATTTTTTCTAGTTCTGTGAAAAATGTCATGGGTAATTTGATAGGGATCCCATTAAATCTGCAGATTGCTTTGGGTCATATGGCCATTTTAACAGTATTAATTCTTCCAATCCAAGAGCATGGGATATCTTTCCATTTCTTTGAATCATCTTCAGTTTCCTTTATTAATGGTTTATAGTTCTCAGCATGTCTTCCACCTTCCTGGTCAGGTTTATGTCTAAATATTTTATTTTTGGGCGTGCAATTTTGAAAGGTATTGTTTTTTTACATTCCCTTTCTTATACTTGTTAGTGTAAAGAAATGCAACTGACTTCTGTATGGTATTCTTGTACCCTGCTGTCTTGCTGAATTCGTTTATCAGTTCTAGTAGTTTTTGTGTGGACAGTTAGGGTTTTCTATATACAGAATCATGTCATCTGAGTATAATGGCAGTTTTACCTCTTCCCTTTCAATTTGGATACCTTTTATTTCTTTTTCTTGTCTGATTGCTGTGGTGTCAGATCATTTTCTAAATGGATGGTAGCAGTTCACACTCTCCCCAGCAATGTTTGGATGTCATTTCCCTGCATCCTCACCAGCACTGAATATTACCACTCTTTTTAGTTTTTGTTAATGATGGGTAGAAGTATCATCTCATTAATGCTTTAATTTCCTTGACTACATTCAGAATATTTTTATATTTGAATTTTCTTTTATATGAATTACCTGTTCATAGCCTTAGTCATTTTTCTATTCGGTTGATTCTTGTTATTATCAGTTTGTGGCTTTTTGTACATTAGAGATACTGACCCTTTATCGTGTATTACAAATATTTCTTCCTAGCCAACCATTCTTTTATTTGTTTACAGTGGCTGAGGAGCTTAAAATTTTAACAGTTGTGTATTCTATTTCATCATAGAATTCTGAAACTTCACCAAAAAGGCACAGCAAATATGTTCTAAGCTGCATAAATGATCCCTGCAATTCAGTGAATGCTTGAGGTTTATCAACCTGTAGCAATCAGACTAATGCATCCTGTTTCTGTAGTCATTGACACCTTTTTCTTAGTTATTGCTTGTTGCAGCTAAAACACAACCACAGAGGGCTGAGGTGAATTCCTGGGTCTCCCTCTGATTCTTCACCTAGTTGAGGCTCTATGGGGAGCAGTGACTTCTAGGCAGTTTTTTCCACCCTACAAACTTCCAGCCCATTGCACATCTGTAGAATTGTATTAGAAATCACTTTTCTCAGCTCAGCCTGCATCTTTTTTTCTCAAACCAAAAATGTATTTATCAACCAACTCCCCTTACATAAGTAAGGCAGTAGTTTGCCATATAAAAATTTGCCATGTAAAAATTCTTTGCACTTCTTTCTGTATGTTTTCTACATGATATAAAACTTTTTACAATATGTTAATTAAAATATGAGTTCTGTTGAATATAAGCATTCATTTTCCAATCAAATACTTAACAAGAACAGTTTCTTGGCACACAGTGGGTTGGGTTAATTGGTACAGAATGCTCTTTACTGAGAGCTACATGAGCTGAGGAGCAACAGCTCAGTTGCTAAGATTCACTATTTCAACACGGTAGTGTTTTTCTGCTTTGGTCACATACAAAACCCTTAAAGAATTCTGAAATTCAATATATAAAGACCAGAGATATATTACTTTAGCCACTGAATCAAATTAATACTTAAAACCATTATTTAAAAAAAAGAGAGAAATACCAAAACCATTATTTAAAACCGTTTTTAAATAAATGTTTCAAGATCTGCACTAGTATAAACCATTTCTTCCAGCTTGCAACTTGGAAACTGAAGGAAAAAGATGCCTATTTAGTTTATCTGTTTTGTCTTTATAACATTCATATAAGAAAAACACTGAGATACCTGGTTTTCTCTCACTAATAGTGGCAATATGGGGAAGTCTCAGGGGAAAAAAAGAAAAGCAAACAGGCGAAAACCAGGCATTCCAAATAAGTAATGCTAGGTATTTTTTATAGAGTAGGAGTTGGCCTAGATTCCACATGGTTTGCAGAGTGCCAATCCTGGTGTCATGAAGCAGAAAAAATAAAGGGTGGGTTTGATGCTGAGACAACAGCTTAGTAACAGCATGTGGTGGCAGTGGGCTCACAAGTAGGAGAAGCAACTCTGATGTAAAGTGTCAAAAAAAAAATTAGATACTATGATCTAACTCAAGATTTGCTTAATTATAAAAAATGAAAACTATTTTAGACTGTAAATCCTTTTTTCTAATTACAAAGGTAATATCAATAAACATCAACTTAACTCTTGAAGGCTGGGATGGAATAAACAAACATTGCTTCATGTATTCTTTGATATATATATTTTAAACCCATCATTATCACAAGCCTTAAAATATTTATACTGTGACTCAGCAATTCCACTTCTAGAAATTTAAGCTAAATGTATATGTATGGAGGGGTTACAGGTAAATTTTATTCTTCTGTGAATTTTTATACATTTTCCAAAGTTTACATAACACAGTTTACCTTTTTAGATTTTTTTTTTTTTTTTTTTTCGGTACGCGGGCCTCTCACTGTTGTGGCCTCTCCCATTGCGGAGCACAGGCTCCAGACGCGCAGGCTCAGCGGCCATGGTTCACGGGCCCAGCCGCTCCGCGGCATGTGGGAATCTTCCCGGACCGGGGCACGAACCCGTGTCCCCTGCATCGGCAGGCAGACTCTCAACCACTGCGCCACCAGGGAAGCCCCCCAGTTTACCTTTTTAAACGAGGGGGGGAAGTAGGACAGTATTCTCTAGTGGCCTCAAGCCAAGGAAACCCAGTTTCTTCTTTCTTCATCTTTCTGAATCTCATCATGACATGCACAGGGATAGCAAGTTTTGTCATAAGAGAACAACGACAGCAGCTCGTACTTGATAGGCGTTTTTGTTCTCAGGTCTTTAGTAAATCATGTGATGAACCCTTAGCCCTCAGAATAAGGTAATGGTATTGGCTTTGGACTCAACCTGTTATTTTCCATTGATGAGGCTGTTGCAGGAAGAGTCCCAAGAGTTGAGCTCTTACACAAGGTCCCAAGTTTCAAACCTAGGACTCGGTGACAGTTTATCAAAATGGCATATGGCAAACAAGACCCAACACTGAGAAGCAGAATTTACAAGGGCATGCGTTACTGATGGTAGCCAGTGGCAGGGAAGTGTGACAGTCTGTATTCCCCAAACATGCAGAAAAATACATTAATTCAAAATATACAAGCTTAGAGGGAAACTGACAGGAAGAAGTAAAAAAAAGAATGTATATTTTACATAAGTATTCAGGAAAGGGTAATATGGAAATTGCTGGGTTTAATCCAGTTAGAAAGTCTGATGCATACCCTGTGCAATTCTAGGAATGTTGACCACTTCCAAGCTGATGATTCAGTGCAGAGAACTCAGACTATATCCTCCCCCCACCCGACTTTTTTTTTTCCAGGTTAAAAGGGGTCACTATGGAGTTCAAAGAACAGAACTCTTGCCTGGCGACCGAGACAACCTGGCCATTCAGACCCGGGGTGGCCCAGAAAAGCATGAAGTAACTGGCTGGGTGCTGGTGAGTACCAAGAGCTAGCAAGGATTTCACTCATAGGAATAGACAGAGCAAACCAAAGGTGCCTGATGTACTGCCAGGCTCAAAGTATTCGTCTGCCCTTCCACATCTCTTTAGAACAGCCTTACCACGAGCTGCTGATTCTCTTTCAAAGGAAACTAAAACAAAAAAAACCCAAAAAGAAACAGCTGGGGTTTATTAGGATGTTTTGGAAATCACCAAAATATAAGTGAGAACCAACTTTTTTTTTCCCCTAAGAGTTCAAAGCAAAATCCTCAAAGGGAACTAATGACCCAAGCATTATTTTAATCAATTATTGATTATTTTACTTGACCTCTGATAGCCATGGACACGCATGGATAGTACTTAGATCACATACCCTACACCAAGGTCTCCCTCAAATGAGGATATGTGCACCTATCCTGTTTTTAACCTATGCAATGTGACCTAAAGTTGTCCATGACAACTTTACCTCATAGTAGGAATCCTCCTGGCAGACCAAATACGATAGCTATATAATTACTCCTAACACAAGACTTGCACTGTTTCTAGCAGTAGAAATACTTTGCTATGAAACCCCTGGTCATGTTAGGAAACTTATGAAATAATGACCTAATTGAAGTCACAAGAAAAAAGTTCACTGCCATAGAGAAACTAAAAATCCTTTTTCTTTCACAGGTATCTCCTCTTAGTAAGGAAGATGCCGGAGAATATGAGTGCCACGCATCCAATTCCCAAGGACAGGCTTCGGCATCAGCAAAAATTACAGTGGTTGATGCCTTACATGAAATACCAGTGAAAAAAGGTAGGTAATAAATCTTATAACCATTTAAAAATGACTAGTGCTTTTGTTTAATAAAGGACAGAACCAAGTATGAAAGTATCAGACATAGCTCTTAATGAAATTCTGTGATGTTAGGAATCCACAAGGGAAGGACGTTAAGTATGTAATCAAAATGTAGAGTGCATGGCTCCAAAAGAACATTCAGTGGTTGATGGAATGCTATTATTATGACTCAGATGCTTTCACTTTATCTTACACGTAAGAGTCAAACTTGATTGGAATGGTTTATATTTCCCGTAACTTTCTACCTTCACAGCATTTTCCTTGGTGTTGTGACTATTATATTAAATTCCCCTTTAAAAGGAAATGATTGACTGTAGACAATTCTGGTCCTTCACGTTGAGCTTTTATAAGAAAAAAAACAGAAGGAGTATATTGGCAAGTACTCAATTCTGTTCTGCCTCTATCCACTTCACTGTCAAAAGCTTCCTCTTAAGCATCCATCCTGGCGGTATGAGAGTAATGCTACTTTACATTTATATAGTTCTATTAGACTGATGTCTGACTTGGTTTTTCCTTAAGCCAAAAATAACGAAATTTACTGTCAGCATTTGTCAAAACCATTCCACTGTGTGGATCACTCAGCTGCAGTACGAAAGGAAGAAATATCAAGTAAAGATGTGTTTGGTCAGATTCTCTTCAGCCAAGATGTGTAAAGTCAAGTGATGAAACAGAGCAGTAGCTAAGAGTCATGTGTTTGAGTCTCAGCTCTGCCACTAATTAGTCCATTTTAAATTCTTAATGAGAACTGGATGACAAAGGAAAGTTCCTTGGCCTCTCTGGATCTCACCTTGCTCATCTGTGAAACATGCTTCTCCCAGTTCTATAGTAAGGTCTGTAAGGTCTGTCATTTACAGATAGATAAATTTACAGATAGATAAGTACAACAAAATCACCTTCCACATCTAAGACCATATGGCTCAAATTCCAAAAAGCACTCCCACCATATCATTTATAGTTACACATCCTTTATCCCCACATTTTAACATCTTCATTTATTTGGAAACACTAAACTACCTCAAAATTAGAAAGTCAACCATGTCCATATATGTAACTTATTTTTATCTTTTCTTTTTAAACAGGTGAAGGTGCTGAGCTGTAAACCTGCAGAAAATAATCTGCATAGCTAAAAGTAGTCATGGGTAACTACAACCCCTGTTCTTGCCTAATAACCAGTTTTCATCCAGTCCACTAACAAACACTTTAGTTATATTCACTGGTTTTACACCATGAAATACAAAATAACACATCAAGACTGTCTACAAAAATTTGTCTATTTACAAAGCATGCATATCATTAAACAAATAAAATGCTTTTTCTCCTAGTGCAAGTACATTTTTGTTGTTTTAAAAATTTTTTTAAAGCTATATCATAGAAACAAGACACAAAGATTTTTAAAAGAGCTAAACACTCATCATTCGAGGTGCAATACTCATAGACATGAGTTCCTGAAACAACAGTTTGCATGCATAAGGCATTCGCACCAAAGAGATCTGGGGGAGAGAAAAAAAAGGTAATTAGCAAAGCTGTATTGAAGGGACCCCACTTCCCTACCTCAGAAAAAGCTAAAGACTTGGTACTGGAGGTGATGAACAAATGAGGCTGATAACACTCATCCTACCTTGGCCTTTGGTGGCTCTTCTCCTAAAAGGCTTTGGTATTCTGCCCTTTCTGCCAGATATAATTTATATTCACCCTTCTCAATTAAAAGGTTTAACAAAACTCATTGTTTAAAATTCCTCGTACAAGGCCTTATTATTTCCAAAAGATGAACAGCTTAGCTTAGAGAAATTACCACACTAAAACTTAGTTTTTAGAAAAACAGAATTGTTACCTTTTTCCTCATTTAAAACTAGGAATCTTATAGAAGCATGCTATCAAAATTGTGAAAATGCCAATCTGTTCCACCACACTAAATCTGCCTGGATGATTAGGCCAACGTGGTTATATCCTGAACAGATATCAACTGTCAGTAAGGTCTGTACATACCTGGGTTTTATTTCGGCAGCCCCTGCATTCATACGTATGGGTCCTCGTGTTAGCGATTGCCATTATTCCACAAAGATTGCAAACATGAACCTGATATGGATCTGATGCCTCAAACAGTCTTTCCCTTAAAAACTGGGCTGCTCCGTGGGCAATCTGACAATCTCGTTCCATTTCTCCAAAACGCAGGCCACCATCACTGTCATGGAAAAAACAACAGACTATTTTGTACTGATTTTCTATTAGAAAGAATATTAGAAAGAAAGAGAACTAGACTCCGATTTTTCTACTCTTGCATTCTCTGTACATGGTGGGGAGGTTGAGAAGTCTACCAACTATTTGGTGTGCATTAGAAGGTCCCCAGAGTAAACACATAAGATTCTCAAGTATAGCATAAACTTTTCCAAGTAAAATACAATGAAGTACAAAATAAAATCTCATCAGACTATTTAACTTACTAGAATTCACCTCTATACTAAAAAATGAATAGTAAAAAAGTCAATCTAAATAAAGCAGCTTCTCCATGAATGAGACTCCCAGGCAATCAAACCTGAAATGATAAATGCATGTTGGCAAAAGTGATGGAAAGAACAGGTGACTAATCACAGGTTTCCCCAGCATGTAAGTGAAATGCATTGTTCTGATGGCCAGGCAAGTGGATGATGGCTTCCTTAACATTCTTAATATACAAAATACATAAGATCAATGAGCTTCTAATGATACTACCAAAAACAAAACATTTGGTCAGCTTTGGAGGATTCTAGGCAACCACCGCGTCATTTTGAAAATTGGTAAATAAAAGGAAAGAATTAAGCATTTATTTTGCCTTTTCGTATATGAACCATGTCACCAGGTTAGCAGCTGAGAAAACATTTCTCTCTATGAAAGTATTCCAGCTAATAAATGAAGGAATGATAAATTAGAATCTCATCAGTTTGCAAACCTTTAAATAATTAAAGGGTTTTTTTTGGTTTTTTTTTTTTGCAGTACGCGGGCCTCTCACTGTTGTGGCCTCTCCCGTTGCGAAGCACAGGCTCCAGACGTGCAGGCTCAGCGGCCGTGGCTCACAGGCCCAGCCACTCCGCGGCATGTGGGATCTTCCCAGACCAGGGCACGAACCCATGTTCCCTGCATCGGCAGGTGGACTCTCAACCACTGCACCACCAGGGAAGCCCAATAATTAAAGGTTTTACGTAATGATCATTAATAGCTGCTAAAGTCATAAGAGACAACCAGATATTGAAAGTATACAGCACTGCCTTTGAAGTATTACTGTGAAAGAACACAAACCCTTCACCTCATCAAGGCTCTAGATCTGATTAGCTATTTACAAGAAAAACAGGAACACAGAGCCCAGGAATGCAATCAACAAAAATCCAGACTGTGAGAGGGAATTCCTTGGCAGTCCAGTGGTTAGGAATCAGCGCTTTCACTGCTGAATGAAAATATTTTCCAAATGACCAAATATGATACTATAGAATTACATAAGTATAAAAGATACAAAGTGTAAGGCCAATGGATTTTAATATAAAAGATTCACTTAAGTGGTTTCAAATTCTACATCACAAGTAACCTTTAAGAAAGGACAACTTGGACTTCCCTGGTGGCGCAGTAGTTAAGAATCCACCTATCAATGCAGGGGACACGAGTTCAAACCCTGGTCTGGGAAGATCCCACATGCCGCAGACCAACTAAACCTGTGCGCCACAACTACTGAGCCCACTTGCCTAGAGCCCATGCTACACAATAAAGAGAAGCCACCGCAATGAGAAGCCCGCACACCACAACAAAGAGTAGCCCCTGCTCGGAGCAACTAGAGAAAGCCTGCACGAAGCAACGAAGACCCAACGCAGCCAAAAATAAATTTATTTTTAAAAAAAGGACAACTTGTTTTGGTGTAGCATCAAAAAAAAAAAAAATCCACAATCACCTGAAAATTATTAAAATATTCTTCCCTTTCCAACCAGAAATCTGTGTGAGGTCAGGTTTTCCTCATATAGCAATACTTAGTTATAAAAAATAAAATCCTGCAATGGGATGAATGCAGAAGCAGACACAATAATCCAGCTGTCTTCTCACAAACCAGTTCATTAAAAAAGATTTGCAAAAAGGTAAACCAATGTCACTCATCACTAAATTTACTTGGAAAATATTTAAACTAAGGAGCCTGCCTACTGCAACTAAGACCCAGTGCAACAACAAAAAAAGATACAACTCCCAGACAAAAGCCTTTGGGGTCCTGGAATCAAGAAATTTGAGACCCATTCCTTTATGTAACAATGATGATGATGCAGCTCTCTTACCGAGATCTACCCTCCATGGGCTGCCTATTAAGGATCTGAATAGGCCCCCGAGCACGAGAATGAATCTTATCATCCACCATGTGTTTCAAACGCTGGTAGTAAGTGGGGCCAATAAAAATTTGTGATGTGATTTTTCGACCAGTGAATCCATTGTATAGGACCTGAAACAGACAGATTTTGAAGCACAGACTTAAAAGTATTAAACAAGTTCAAAGAATATATGTGCATATATTGTATAATTCCATTTCTATAAAAATCAAAACAGAAAACTAGTGTAAAGAGAGTAGTCACCAGTGGTGGTGGGGAGTATGATGGTAGTGACTGAAAGGGGACACAAGGGGGGCATCTAAGCATAAAAGGGTTCTGGTAATTTTCAAGATCTGGGTGCCAGTCACACAGCTGTGTTCACTTTGTGAAAATTCATCAACCTGTAAATTTACGGTTTTGCATGTAATTTGAAGTATGTGGTATACTTTAATGAAAAATTTAATTTTTTAAAAAATGAAATTACACACATACAAAAAAGAATACTCATAACAAATTACCAATGTAAGAGCAAACATACCTCATTTCCTCTGAGATGGTAGCCATAATCAGATAAAAGATTAGAAATCTTCTGTACATTAACAGCATCATTGAATGGAGTGGCATCACCAATTTCACCCTTGTTAGCTGATACCTTTAAAAAGAAAAGTCATCTCTAAAAGGCTGCTTCCTTCTGTCACCCTTTAGAAGTCTATGTCAATACAAATATATTAAAAAAAAAAAATCCTTTCTGGAAAGGAAGATTTTGAACTTAAGATTAAGGATTAACTTAAATATCTATGTTATGGAAAGGTATAATATAGTAAGGTTCATTTTATTAGCATTTTACATAAAATATAACTAATTTACCTAAAAAATAAAAACAACTCAATTATAAGCCTTCAAGTAGGAAACTCTCTGTGAGGCCAGATACAAAAAGAATGAGACTCCCAAGTACTTCCTACGACTCAAGGAAAATGACATTTTAATGCCCTAAAACCAAGCCATCCATGTGTTAAGCTGTAGCCACTCTGCCTTAATAAGATACTTAAAAATAGAAAAACCTCCACTGAAAGATGCATGCATAGCTAATAGTATAGCTATAAAACCATTAGGTTCACACTGAACTAACCACCACTTATAGAAAAGAACCAGTCAAAAGAATAACCATATATACAAGTAAAGACTGGATGTAGTAAATTTTGCGAAACTTCTCAGTCATAACTTTGCAAAGTTTGGCAAAAAAGAGAGACATAAACCAATTTAAAAGCAGGAAAGTTAAGTGTCATATTGGCTTTTTCCAAAGTACCCTGGCTCAAATGAAAGAAATGACCGAACATTTCGGAAGAAACATCAATTTGGAACCTATATTTTTAAAGAAAATCTCTTACCTTCCCTTGAAGACATTCAATCAAGTGACCAATAGTCATACGAGAAGGAATGGCATGGGGATTTATGATGATATCGGGGGTGATACCTTCGCAGGTGAAAGGCATATCCTATAAAGGAATTTTTTTAAAGACACTTAAAAAAACTTAAATCTCTTAGCTAGAGAACTAGAATTAACTCCCGCTCATCTAAACTTTTCTATGTCCTAAATTCTGTTCAACGTAGTGTGTTCACCTACTTATTCAACACTAAAATTAGGGCTTCCCTGGTGGCGCAGTGGTTAAGAATCTGCCTGTCAATGCAGGGGACACGGGTTCGAGCCCTGGTCTGGGAAGATCCCACATGCCGTGGAGCAACTAAGCCCATGCACCACAACTACTGAGCCTGCACTCTAGAGCCCATGAGCCACAATTACTGAGCCCACGAGCCACAACTACTGAAGCCTGCGTGCCTAGAGCCCATGCACCACAACGAAGAGCAGCCCCCGCTCACCACAACTAGAGAAAGCCCACACACAGCAACGAAGACCCAATGCAGCCATAAATAAATAAATAAATAAAATCTTAAAAAAAAAAAAACACTAAAATTAAAAGTCAAGCCTTTACTGCCTCTGGGCTCTCAAGTTAAAGAACATTTTGATTTAATAAAATGTTCAACAAAATTTTGGATTAGAGGTGATAAAAGATACCTACCTCTTGTCTATACTGAATACCACAAGTACCCTTTTGACCATGTCGACTAGCAAATTTGTCTCCAATCTGTGGAATTCTAACAGAGCGTACCTGAATTCACACAAAAATAGGTTAGTTAAGTCATTCTGGTTTACTTTCTATAAATAGCAATATGAAAAAGCTATACTCACCCTTATTTTACAAAATTTATATCCTTCTTGGTTCAGAGTTACCATAACCTGATCCACAATGCCCGTCTCACTAGTCCTGAGAAAAGTGCTACAGTCTCTCTTAGTATAGCGTCTATTAGTGCCCTCTAATTCATCTTCATTTTCAGGCAACGTGACTGTTTTGCCTATAATAACATCATCTCCTGATACACGAACCCCAGGAGCTATCAAACCATCATCATCCAGCTTGTCATAAATAGCATGCCTCATACCTGAGAAGAGACAGAATTTTCTGAAATGGTAATACCATAAAGAAAAGCATTTAAAACGTCCCATAATCCCCCTCCCCAAAAGATTAAAAACCAAATATATAAATCAGTTTCAAGTCAGAGAGAAGTTCATAGGAATCTCTACCCCTTATTCCAAATACTACAAACTATTCTGAACTCGGTAGAAAAGCATTGGGCTGATTCAGATTCTCCATTTGCTAAGTGACTTTGGATAAGTGTGTTGCCATCTTCTGATCTCTATATTGCATAAGGAAGAGTATCTATGTCCTCTACATATAAACTCCAACAGAAAGTTTGAATTTAACCTTCTATAATCTTAACTCCACTGAACATCAATTCACTACCACAGAGAACCACCCACAGGAAATGGAGTAATAGGAAGATACCTAAGGAAAAAAAAAAACATTTTACTTCATGTAATACTATTAAAAGCCAAAACTGGGCTTCCCCGGTGGCGCAGTGGTTGAGAGTCCGCCTGCCGATGCAGGGGACACAGGTTCGTGCCCCGGTCTGGGAAGATCCCACATGCCGCAGAGTGGCTAGGCCCGTGAGCCATGGCCACTAAGCCTGCGCGTCCGAAGCCTGTGCTCCACAACGGGAGAGGCCACAACAGTGAGAGGTTCGCGTACCGCAAAAAAAAAAAAAAAAAAAAAAGCCAAAACTGTAGGAGAGATAACCCTTTTCCCTGGGATATCCCATCCATCCCACTTTATACAGCTTTTAAGTGTCTGTAAAAATAATAACTAGAAAATAAGTTTTGAGTTTTCCAGAAGAAACAGAAAGTTCTAGGTGTCCTCTCATTAGTTATTTGTTAAATACATACAAATAGTGTGGCTAGACAAACACTATGGTCACACCACAATGTGAAGAGGAGAGGAAGTTCCCATGCAAATAGATAAACTGAGGGAGAGGACACAGTACAAGTGAGAATGGGGCTGAGGTGTGTCCCATGAAATTACATGACCTCTCTGATTTCCTAAATCCCCTCCTCAATGCAAGACTTAGCGGAATGGAAGGACTATAGCAAGCCCACTCCTAGGTGCAAAGACTTCTGGCAAATATACCTATTTCCTTAATATAAGCTCTAAGAATAATAAGAAAACATACTCCCACATGGCAAAAAGAAAGGGGGGCGGGCAAAACCCAAAAAATTAATCAGGAAAACCATGGTAAGCTAACTTTGAATTCCATAATTTCAATGTCAGTATTGCTTACCCTGGCAAGTTTCACGTGTAGGCTTCTCAAAAACTTCTTCTTGATCAAACCCTTTTTTAGACTCCTGTTCTTTGTATGATCGATAGAAAACAGACCTAAAAACACATGGTTCTAAAGTTAACTTCTATTTTCCTTTAATAATAGGGTTTAGAACATACCAATAAATTTTACTTAATTGATATGTGCTAATTTAAACCATGGCAATTTAAACCATGAGAGTTAACTGTATTAAGGGTCAAAGTTAAGTCTTAAGAGCTATTACACAGGCCACACATGTAGCATTTGACCCATAACCTTAACACAGCTGGAATTATATGTGAGACCAGGAAGGACTAATGTCACTGAGTCCAACCTCCTACCCAAAATAAGAATCCCTCCCATAATAACCCTCAGAGATGGTCACCCAGGATCTGTCCCAATGTTTCTAGTGAGAAGTTTATGGTATTAAGCTATAACGTCCACCTCTGGTCTTAGTGCCTATCCTCTGAAAACTATACAGAAAAAATCCATCCTCTCTTAACTCCCAGTTTTTTAACCAACTTTCATATACCATGGATTTGAGATTAATGTTTGACAATAAAATAAACTGAAGAATAAAAGATTGAAAAAGAAAATATACTATAATTTTAATAGTAGTTATTGGGTTGGCCAAAAAGTTCATTCGGGTTTTTCCATAACATCTTACCAAAAAACCCAAACGAACTTTTTAGCTAACCCAATATTCATGGGTCCTAAAACTCTAGGTTTATTTTTACTTTAGACATTTCTATATTATCTAAACACAAACATTTATTTGCTTACAAATAAAGGGGGGGCTCAAAATATTAGCAACTGAAAATCCTCAAATACAAGAAGCAGTGTCTTCAGTTGTTCGTGATCATCACCCAGGCCTTCTACTTTCTGGAGTAGGGCACTGATTTTACCACACTAATCCCTATATAGGAAACCATACAACAACATGTGCCTGGCAGATATCCACAACGTTTCATGAATGGAGGCAGAAGATTAAATATCCTAACAGAAAAATTTCTCTGCTGTCAGATCAAAATTTCTTCCGGACTGACATTCAAAACCCCCAAAAGTTTGGAAACACACAATTCGCACCTAATTTTAAAGAACTTTTTAAAAATAAAATATTAATATTTCCACCATATGTGTATTTTGACAACTTTTATAAATAGCTGACCTGAAAAAGCCTCGGTCTACAGCTGAACGATTCATGATAACAGAGTCTTCTTGATTATATCCAGTGTATGATGCAATGGCCACAATTGAGTTGATACCTGCAGTGCATTTAAGAGAAAACATTAAAGCATCATATGAGAAACAAAGAAAAATTACCCCTTTCTTTTAAATCAATTTTATTTAATCTTATTTGCCTCAAATGTTTTCACCATGGTAACTGTCAAAGTCTACTCCTCCTGGAATAGCAATCTGTGAGACAACTACTCTGATGGCTAAATGTTTGATATAAGCAAGTTTTTAATATAAACAATCTTATTTAGTTGCTGCTGCCAAAACTATTTTTGATGAGACCATAAAGATTTAAAGTATCAAGTACTGATAAACAAAACTGATAAACCTTTAGCTACACTCATCAAGAAAAAAAGGGAGAGGGCTCAAATCAACAAAATCAGAAATGAAATAGAAGTTACAACTGACACCACAGAAATACAAAGGATCATAAGAGACTACAAACAACTATATGCCAATAAAATGGACAACCTAGAAGAAATGGACAAATTCTTGGAAAAGTACAATCTCCCAAGACTGAACCAGGAAGGAATAGAAAATATGAACAGACCAATCACAAGTACTGAAATTGAAACTGTTATTTAAAAACTTCCAACAAAAGTCCAGAAACAGATGGCTTCACAGGCAAATTCTATCAAACATTGAGAGAATTAACACCTATCCTTCTAAAACTATTCCAAAAAATTGCAGAGGAAGGAACATTCCTAAACTCATTCTATGAGGCCACCATCACCCTGATACCAAAACCAGACAAAGATACCACAAAAAAAAGGATCACACACCATGATCAAATGGTATTTATCCCAGGGATACAAGGATTTTTCAGTATCCGCAAATCAATCAGTGTGATACACCACATTAACAAACTGAAGATAAAAACCATATGGTCAACTCGATGAATGCAGAAAAAGCTTTTGACAAAATTCAACACCGATTTATGACAAAAAATCTCCAGAAAGTGGGCATAGAGGGAACCTACCTCAACATAATAAAGGTCATATATGACAAACCCACAGCTCGCATCATACTCAACAGTAAAAAGCTGAAAGCATTTCCTCTAAGATCAGGAACAAGACAAGGATGTCCACTCTCACCACTTTCACTCAACATAGTTCTGGAAGTCCTAGCCATTGGCACTCAGAAAAGAAAAAGAAAGAAAAGGAATCCAAATCAGAAAAGAAGTAAAGCTGTCACTGTTTGCAGATGACATGATACTATACACAGAAAATCCTGAAGATGCTACCAGAAAACTCACTAGAGCTCATGAATGAATTCAGTATAGTTGCAGGATACAAAATTAATACACAGAAATCTCTTGCTTTTCTATACACTAACAACAAAAGATCAGACAGAGAAATTAAGGAAACAATCCCAATAACAATCGCATCAAAAAGAATAAAATACCTAGGAATAAACCTACCTAAGGAGGCAAAAGACCTGTAGTCTGAAAACGATATGACACTGATGAAAGAAATCAAAAATGACACAAACATGGAAAGATATACCAAGTTCTTGGATTGGAAGACTCAATACTGTTAAAATGACTATACCACCCAAGGCAATCTACAGATTCAATGCAATCCCTATCAAATTACCAATGGCATTTTTCACAGAACTAGAACGAAAAAATTTTAAATTTGTAATGGAAATTCAAAAGACCCCAAAGCAATCCTGAGAGAGAAATATAGAGCTGGAGGAATCAGGCTCCCTGGCTTCAGACTATACTACAAAGCTACAGTCATAAAAACAGTATGGTACTGGCACAAAAACAGAAATATAGATTAATGGAACAGGATAGAAAGCCCAGAAATAAACCCACGCACTTATGGTCAATTAATCTAGGAAGGAGGCAAGAATATACAGTGGAGAAAAGACAGTCTCTTCAATAAGTGGTGCTGGGAAAACTGGACAGCTATATATAAAACAATGAAATTAGAACATTCTCTAACACCATACACAAAAATAAACTCAAAACAGATTAAAGACCTAAACGTAAGACTGGACACTATAAAACTCTTAGAGGAAAACATAGGCAGACACTCTGACATAAATCGAAGCAATATCTTTTTGGATCCACCTCCTAGAATAATGGAAATAAAAACAAATAAATGGGATCTAATTAAACTTAAAAGCTTTTGCACAGAAAAGGAAACCATAAGCAAAATGAAAAGACAATCCACAGAATGGGAGAAAATGTTTGCAAACCAAGTGACTGACAAGGGATAAATTTCCAAAATATATAAACAGCTCATGCAGCTCAACATCAAAAAACAAACAACCTAATCAAAAAATGGGCAGAAGATCTAAACAGACATTTCTCCAAAGAGGACATATAGATGGCCAACAAACACATGAAAAGATGCTCAACATCACTAATTATCAGAGAAATACAAATTAAAACTACAATGAGGTATCACCTCACGCCGATCAGAATGGCCATCATCAAAAAACCTACAAACAATAAATGCTGAAGAGGGCATGGAGAAAAGGGAACCCTCATGCATTGTTGGTGGGAATGTAAATTGATACAGCCACTGTGGAGAACAGTATGGAGATTCCTTAAAAAATGAAAAACAGAACTACCATAAGACCCAGCAATCCCACTACTGGGCATATACCCAGAGAAAACCATAATTCAAAAAGACACATGCACCCCAACATTCATTGCAGCACTATTTACAATAGCCAGGCATGGAAGCAACCTAAATGTCCATCGATAGAGGAATGGATAAAGAAGATGTGGTACATATATACAATGGAATATTACTTGGCCATAAAAAAGAATGAAATAATGCCATTTGCAGCAACATGGATGGACCTAGAGATTATCATACTAAGTGAAGTAAGAAAGAGGAAGACACGTATCGTATGATATTTGGAATATATGTGGAATCTAAAAAAATGATACAAATGAACTTTTTTGCAAATCAGAAACAGATTCACAGACTTCAAAAACAAACTTACGGTTACCAAAGGGGAAGGGTAGGGGGGAGGGATAAATTAGGAGTTTGGGATCAACAAGGATATACTGTATAGCACAGGGAACTCTACTCAATATTCTGTAATAACCTATATGGGAAAAGAATCTGAAAAAGAACGGATATGTATATATGTATAACTGAATCACTTTGCTGTACCCCTGAAAATAACACAATATTGTAAATCAACTACAATATAAAATTAAAATTATATTTAAGTAAAGTAACAAGTATTAAAGAAGAAAAAAGTTGAAAACTCTATAAACTAGTAGATTGCAATATAAGAAATGATTGTTGAATGTGAGTGGGGTTTCTTTTTTTAAAGATTTATTTATTATTTTTTTTTATTATTTTATTTTTGGCTACATCAGGTCTTAGTTGTGGCATGTGGGATCTTCTGTTGCGGTGCGGGGGCTTCTCTAGTTGTGGCGTGGTTTTCTCTTCTCTAGTTGTGGCGCACAGGCTCCAGGGCACGTGGGCTCTGTAGTTGTGGCGCATGGGCTCCAGAACGTGTGGGCTCTGTAGTTTTGCAGCACGTGGGCTCTAGTTGAGGCGTGCAAGCTCAGTAGATATGACATGCAGACTTAGCTGCCCCGCAGCATGTGGGATCTTAGTTCCCTGACCAGGGATCGACCCTGAGTCCCCTGCATTGTAGGGCAGTTTCTTTACCACTGGACCTCCAGGGAAGTCCCTGGGTGGGGTTTCAATGAACATAATTCATATATAACGTGAATCATCAGATTTTCCAAAAATTGAAACACACTCAACTCTAAAGCTACAGTAACATAATATCGTGACCTAAACATTTCAAATGTGGAGTAAAAACTATGACTACAGAATACAAAGGAACCAAAATCTGGATGACTGAATGTTTTGGTTATCTAAGTTCTGAATAAACTGTTTATATTTGCTTCCTTAAAGCTAAGTTCCACTTTCAAAACACAACCCACCGGGCTTCCCTGGTGGCGCAGTGGTTGAGAGTCCGCCTGCCGATGCAGGGGACACGGGTTCGTGCCCCGGTCCAGGAAGATCCCACATGCCGCGGAGTGGCTGGCGCCGTGAACCATGGCCGCTGAGCCTGCGCATCCGGAGCCTGTGCTCCGCAACGGGAGAGGCCACAACGGTGAGAGGCCCGCATACCGCAAAAAAACAAACAAACAAAAAACCACAACCCACCCTTCAAGAGGAGACACACCATTCATTCACACTTTTATGTGTACAGCAGGGATGCAAAAGTTTTCATAAGCAGAGTGCAGGTAAGGGGTGGCAGCACTGCTGGTCTGAGTCTGGGTCACTAAAGACACACTCCTCCAAGTCTCTGATTCTCAGTAATTCCCAACCCAAGGTAGGAATAGATTTGTAGAAAGAGATACACACAAAAAGCAGGCCCTCCTCCCTAACTTCCACATTTGCTCCTCCTTAATAACTACATTTCTATGGCCCGCTGTGCCACAGAAAGCTTTCCACTAGCTATTTTAAATGCACTGACCATAACATTTTAAAAAATAAATTCACACTAAAGCTTAGATTTCAAGCTTTTCTTGAAAAGTCAGATCTGGCATCACTGGGTCTGCACATACACATCACAACCAAAGCTGAAGTTGAATAGGGCTAACCCCAGCAAAAAGGCAAAACCTCTCTTCAACTCCACCTACTCACCAATCTTGCCTAAGCCTGTAGGAATCTGAGACTGCAAGCTCTGTTGAACAGATGACACGAAACACTTTGTACTAAATATAACTTTGATTGCTCTCTAAAGAAGGATCATAGTAACAAGAGGGCATCTGTTGTTCTGGGCACCCTGATGGGTTTGTGTACCTGTATTTGGAGCAGGAAAAACTAAAATGCTCTGCTGGGAGAGGAAGGGGAGTAAGAAATCCTCCAAGGGAAAGGCAGTGTCAAGGAAGCTGAGTCCTTCCTGGGAAGGACCAGAGATAAAGTACCCAATAGCAGGGAGCCAAGAAGAGTTTTCAGAGATCAGAAAAGTCAAATAGTCTCTCCTCAGGTGTGCAATGAAAACTCCTGAAATCTAAATGATTTCCTCTAAGGAA